CAGGTGAAGTAGGAGACAACTGATGACATCATTCCTTGACCTTTTGGACTTCATGAAGTGGATAGATTCGAGACAGCTCATGCCTCTATGACAGATGAGCAATTAAGTTACATCAATAAGCATAAGATGTCACAATGGAGGCAAGAGTACTGAAGATCTGTGGACTGAGTAAAGGGTGTTAGGCGTGGCATAACAGGCTTCCTTGGTTGAATTTTGACCCATATTTTAAAAGAAAGCATTGGAAAAGGAGATGCTAGGATATTCCAAACTAGAAAGGGGTGGGCAGGCACTAAGGGATGGCATATGAAATGCAAATTAGAGTGATAATGATTTAAAAAACAAAATAATACAGATCTTTAATGTCATTCTCACTTAAAAGCCTTTAAAAGCTTTCCAACATCTATGGAAAAGAAGCACTTTATTCCAGGCTCTCCATACTACAGTAGACACATTTTGTGTTATTACAAGTTTACCTCTCTGTCCTGCCCTGCCCTCAAAATTCTAATATGTTCATAGGCACTGAAGAGAAAGGATTTTTAAAATATAGTGATTTTGCCCTGGCTGTTTTGGCTCAGTGGATAGAGTGTCGACCTGGGGACTGAAAGGTCCCAGGTTCAATTCTGGTCAGGGCACATTCCCAAGTTGTGGGCTTGGTCCCCAGTTGGGGATGTGCAAGAGGCAGCCAATCAGTGATTCTCTCTCTTCATTGATGTTTCTCTCTCTTCCTCTCTGAAATCAATAAATATATATTAAAAAATATATAGTGATTTTTAAAAGTACAAAACCATATTTTTAAAAATACAAAATCCACCATATGGTTTTGTACTTTTAAAAAATCACTTATTTTTTTTAGAAATCCTTTCTCATTAGTACATTCATCTTATCTGCTGCCTAATATTTCATGGTATGGATGTACATTGTCGATGATAGAAATTTAGTTTCTATAAATAAGGTCCCAATTAAGATAATTGTACTGATGTGAGATTACAGCCAGAGGGGAATTATTTGAGTCAGACCAGCAATGAAAACAGAAACTGATTTATAGATGCTTTTTAATGGTTGAGCTTTAACATAAATATATGGGAGCATGGTGTAGTAGTGCTTGTTACATGTAACTAAATTCCTTTTTAAAAAAAATATATTTTATTGATTTTTCACAGAGAGGAAGAGAGAGGGATAGAGAGTTAGAAACGTCGATGAGAGAGAATCATCGACCAGCTGCCTCTTGCACACCCCCCTACTGGGGATGTGCCCGCAACCAACGTACATGCCCTTGACCAGGCAATCCATGTTTCCCTCCCGATGAGGGTGCTTCAGAACCCGGAGGGGGAAAGCAGCCTCAATTTCCAGCAGGTGGGGGGCATACAACAGCCTTTCAGCGGGTCAGAAAAGCCCAGTCATTGCTTGGCAGGGCGTTCATCCTCTCTGCACCTCATCTGTAAATGGAGGGTTTCCATTGAGGACAAGAGCCCGGTCCCTTGGCTGTTCATTCTAACTGCTGCACCGTCTGTAATTGCCGACCGGATTAGAGGCCACCACCGCTGCCCGTGCTGCGGGAAGACCGCCCAACTTTCCACAGCGAGAGGGCTTTTCCAAACACGGAATAAAGTGGGGAGCATTTCAACCCCTGAAGGGGATGCTGCGCCCCGCGCTGTGGTCCCTTCACCCAGCAGAGAGAGCGCCTGTTTGCTCAGTCTGTGCCCACAGATGGAGTTACCAAGTCGCCGGGAGGGCGGTGGCTGATCGCATGCGGCTTCCCACAATCCCAGGTTAATTTGTTTTCCGTTTGCTTTAAAAACGAGACGGAAGGGGCGCGCCTGAGCGTGGCAGGTGAAGTTTACAATCAATCCTGGTCCCGGATCTGTGCGAGCCGCGCCTCCCTCCTCCGCTGGCACCCACCACGTGGGTCCCCGGGCGCCGCCGCAGCTCCCGGCAGCTGTCCCGAGGCCCCGCGCCGCGTCCCCGGGGCCGGGGCGGGGTGGGGCGGGGAGCCGCGGAGCTGCTGGGGGGCCCGGGCAGGGCTGCCTGGAGGCGGGCGGGCCTCCTAGGCTGCAGCCTCTCGGATCCCATTCCCGCCCGGCCCCTGGGAGGGGGACCCCGCTGTGCGGTCTGTGCGCGCCCCTCGGCCGGAGCGCGTTGTGCGCGTGGAAAAGCAGAAGCAAAAAGCGGAATAGGAATGGCCGGTGCTCCGTCGGGACTGTGAGGTTCACCCAGTGAACGCGCCGGAAGAGGAGGAGGAGGAGAGCGGGGCGGGGACCGGGACCCACTACTCAGGGGAATCCCCGGCCGGCGCGGGGATCGGATGGGCAGGGTCTCGCCCTGGTCGTCGCCGCAGCGCGGGGTTCTGCGGACTTGGGGCGAAAGCACTGACCCGACTGGAGTCAGGCGATGGGACTTGTTGGGGATGCTGGGTGCCACGCTAAACCCCAGACCCCGCAGAGCAAAAGGAAGCGCGGGGAAGGCGCACCCCCCCCCCGCCCCAGGCGAGAGGCCAGGCTGCAGGGGGCCGCCCCGCAACGCGCCCCGCGCTGCCCTCCGCCTCGCCACTCCCGCAGGGGGCGACCTGGGCGGCCGGGGTAGGAGTGGGGGCGGTCGCCACCCCAAACCCCCAGCCCGGCCCCAGCCCGGCCCCAGCCCTGCCTCTCCGCCCCTGCTGCCCCCGCTGCCCTCGCCCCGCCCCCTTTGTGCGGTGGGCGCTGTTGCCCAGGTGACGCCCCGCCCCGCCCCGCCCCCGGAGCCCCGGTCCCCGCGCGGCCGCCCGCCCGCCGCAGTCCGCAGGAGCCGCCGCCGCAGCCGGTCCCGGGGCGCCGCCGGGAGCCACGCGCCTCTCCGCGCCCGCGCGTCCGCCCGCCCTGGCCTCTGCCCCCGCCGCTCCGGTCGGTCCGGCAGACCAGCCCGCCCTCCGGCTCGCAGCCCGGGCGCCCCGGCCGCCGCCGCAGGGGCCCGCCCAGCACTGCCTGCCGGGCGCCCCTCGGCCCCCGCGCCCCCGCGGTTGATGACACCTGGCGGAGGCGAGCATGGAGGGGGACGGCTCCGACGCGCCGGTGAGCGGGCGCCGGGGCCCCGGGGCTGGCTGTGCCCCTCGGCGCTCCGGGGCGGGAGCCGCGGCGGCCTCGCTTCCTCTTCGCCGTCCCGGCCCCGGCCGGTTCCGCACCCCGGGGCGCCCCCTTTCTTTCTACTCCTCCGAGGGCCGGGCTCCGGGGTGGCCCGGGCCCGAGAGAGGGCGCCCTCGGGTGCGGCGGTCGCCCTTCCGAGCACCTGGGGGACCCGGGCGGGGCGCTCCGAGGAGGTCAGGTTGTGGGGTTAGTGCGCTTTGCGGGGTCGGGGCTCGGGGCGCGCGCCCCGCCGCCCTTTGTCTGCGAGCGCGGGGCCGGCGCCCGGGTACCAGGCCCCGCGGCTCGGCCCGCCGGCCGCTGTCGGGGTACCAGCGGTTCTGTGTGAAGGGGTCGGATAGGCAGTTCTTAGGAACTTGTTAATTTCCTGTCGAACCTCATTTATGTTGAACCCGCTTAAATTGTGGGCACTGCCACGACCCATTTCTCTTAATCAGATCGTTTTCTCCTCCGTGGGTGTAAAATGAACACTAATTTATCTTTTGGGTAAAAACTTTTGTGCTTAAAAAGCTTATGGAGTGCTTTATGTACAAGAAAGATGGAAATGGATTTAGACCTAACAGTGGGAAGAAAACCCCCCATAAAATGGGGCGTGAGAACCTCCTTTGGACATTCTGACATTCTATTTCCCCTTGAATTGTCCATTTTCTTGGAAAATGAAATAGGGTGTAAATTCTCTCTATTCTTTGATGTGAAGGGTGAGGTTGTGGCTGTCTTCCCAATTGGCTCAAATTATGACATAATGTGGGCTTTTGTTAAGCAAAAGCAGGTTTACTAGTTGTGAGTACATAAAACAGTTTATTCTTGTGTCATTACTTTTTAACTGTATTATTTTCTATACGAACAACCAACCTGTGCCCCGCCCTATGTTTATTGAGTGATGCAGCAAGAAAGGCTACAAAGACCCATTGAGCCAGGGGCTGTCGAGCTATTATTGTCAGGGATTATAGCACTTTTGTCACTTTAGGGGGAATAGAATAGCATTCATTTTTATTTAATTAAAAAAAAAGTGGCTCAATTCAGTTGTAACTGTGCATTTGCAGTAGTTGACATGATTGTACAAGGTCATGAGTACTTTAATGTTGGACTAAAATTGCACGCATCCATTGCCCCTGAAGTTTGGTACGTGTGGGGGGAGGAACTGCCTAGGGAAAGGATGGGAAAACTGGTATGAGGTTATCAAACCTTTTTAGTTGTGATAAGACTCTGAATGTTCCCCACGGGAAATAATGCAAGCTTGTACTATTGAAAGCACTTATAACGGTGCCTTCTAAGCCTCTGTACCCTTTCAATATTTATCACGTGCTTTTAAGATAACTGCTTTCATATTGCAGCATGAGAGCCTCAAGCATTTTGCCTCCATTACAGTTTGCAGCTGTAATATACCTGACATTGGTCACATTTAATGCAGGGAATTGCTGATAATTCACTTTGTCCATAGATTTTAAGGAGGGTTCCATGAACATATTGGCTAACCTTGTTTTGACCAGCTCTTGTTATTGGCTACTCACAAAGTTAATGTGCTATATTCTTAATTTTTATTGAAGGAATCTGCTTTTAAGATTTCACTGAAATCTTTAAAAAAAAGTAAGTTAGTGATGGTTTGAATACTTCATAATTGATGAAATATTATGATTTCCTAATATTTTCCTGCTAATTTTTCTCATACTTCAGTTTTTAACCATGTCATGTCACTTCATTTCTAGGCTATTGGCTGTTGAGGAGTTAATGGTACAATATTTCATAGCCAAAAAGGAACTTCAGATTTAAAAATATATGTTTCTTAATTATTTTTTTTTAAAGGTAAACACATGTACTTCTACAAGCGGTATAAGCATGTTCCTATATTTACCCACTAAGAGTCTTTGATTCTGATTTCAATTTCAGGTTACCATTAAGAATATCGAGAGAGAGCTCATTTGCCCAGCGTGCAAGGAGCTGTTCACCCACCCGTTGATTCTCCCTTGTCAACATAATATTTGTCATAAGTGTGTGAAAGAACTCTTACTGACACTTGATGACTCATTTAACGACGTGGGATCAGACAACTCCAATCAGAGCAGTCCTCGGCTTTGGGTCACCTCCCCTAGCTTGGATAAAATTGACAGGATTAACAGACCAGGTATGTGGTAGAGCATTGGGGTCGGGGAATTCCATTGACTACTGTAAAGGGAATTATTTTTGTCGTTTTCAGCGTTAATCTTTCCAGGTGAATAAATTAAAACTGTAGTTAAATGAACTCCCCCCCCCCCCTTGTTAATCCTCATAACATTTGTCATTATTTAAATAGTAGTGGAAGTTTGTAACAATGAAAGAAGTAGATCTAACGAGATGTATAGCATATATACTGTACTTTATTATTACCCAATGTTTAAATTGTTTCCTGTTGGGATAGTTACTTTCTTCTGGACATCCATAGTAAAGATTAATGCAGATATAAATTAAATTGAAATCACTGGGAACAAGGCCACCGAAACATGAAGGGCCAAAGTTAGCAGTGAGTAACGAGGGGAGGCCTGGGTTGGGTAGAAACACCAGAGCATCATATCATGTTAGGCATGTTTTTTGTATGGAGAATGCCTGAGTGGCCATAGCATCAGACTTCAGGGCTTCAACTCTGACTTACTTGGGCTTTGAGGTTTTAAGTTTATTCCTTCCCTCCTCTCTGTTCATTTCTTCCTCTTATAGTATAGAAGTAACGTTTTAATCTTGTAAGAAAACTTTTATCAGAAAAGTATCTCTATTGAGATTTTAAGGAACGCCTTCTATTGTGGTCTCAGCTGTGATATGGAGTCTCCTTGGGTGACATTTTTGTCTTTGTGCTCCATCAAAGAGTGTATATGTTGTAAGACTAGTATTATGCTATTTAAAAAACAGCGCTTCTTTAAGTGGTAAGCATTAAGATACTTTGGACATATAAAAATTATACATACATAGTCATGTGCCACCTAATGACGGGGATACATCCTCATATCCCCATCATTAGATGGCACATGACTGCATAGGTGTAATTAGGCGTTTTAGTGCTTGTGTGAGCATCATAGAGTGCTCTTACACAAGCCTGCTACACATTATGATAGAGCTAGGCTATGGTGCTGTACATCATCTTACTGTACAAAACAACATGAGATTAAATCAAGTACAAGAGATGGTGATGCCATCAAGAGACACAGAAAACCCAAGATGTATGAGGCTATTGCTGGTATAATATGGCATACTGTTCTACAGGAAACTTTTTAATAAGTAGAAAGAGTACACTCTGAGAAAAAGTATAGTACAATAAATCTATAATGTGTAACATAATCATTTATTATCATTATCAATAATGTATTTGCTATACTTTTACATGACTGGCAGTAGATTTGGTTACACCAGCATCACCACAAACACGTAATGTGTTGTGCTATGTGCTAGGATGGCTCTGATGCTGCTAGGTGATCAAGGTTTTTCAGGGCCGTTATAATCTTATGGGACCACTGTCTATGTCCGGGAACAAACTGTCGTTATGTCGCATGACCGTATACAAACAAGGAGCATTAGGTGACTGGGAGTGCAGGAGGTATGAGGTCCGAGAGGATTATGCTCATTGTGAAGTCATCGCTTTGTTTCCATCCCTGCCAGGAAGCTGGTGCACTGAGGAGGGGAAGAAGGACAGTAACAGCCTGATAGTCTAGATCCTTATTGACTAATCAGGGACCCTGCTTGACTGACCGAGGGAAATTTACTTTTTGTTTGTTAATATTTAGCACAGACCATTAAAAGGAATTTTGTGTACTAGTATTCCTGTTTATAATTTGATCGTGCTTACATATGTATTTTTTGAAATCCTGTATTTTATGTAGGCTTCTAATCTTAAGACTTGTTTAGTTTTTATAATGGGATTAACATGAAGTAGGAATGAGATATAGATGAAATACAGTGAACCACTTCTGTTTTCAGGCACTTACCACAATATTCGATAACTGTTCAATAAATATGTATTGAGTGGATGGTAAATGACAAACCTCTGCTTCAAGTTTTGTTCAAAGCATGCCATAGGACTTATATGCAATAGTGGCGTTTTTTTTTTTTTTTTTTTTTTTTTCCCCAGAAGAAGAGATCTGTTCCACCATACTTGACTCTGTCTCGATCAAACAGAATTGCTAAGATGTTCCTTCCCCTTCTTTAGGAAGAACTCTAATAAGTTGGATTATGCCGTGAAGGGAGGAAGTTAGAAAAGTTTTCTGTGAATCGTTATAGGAAATAAGGACATTTAACTTGGAGAAGGGACAGAATATAATGGCTGTCTTGTGGAAGAGAGCAGTACACTGGGCATCTTCCTGGCAAAGAAACCAATGAAATAGGCAGATTTCAAGTTAACATGAGAAAAAACAAACACTTCAGGTGTCCAAAAATGAAATGGGCTGCCTAATTTTGTCAGATCAGTGTCACTAGAAGTGTTTAAATTAGGGTCAAATTTGTGATTTTTCATAGAGGTAAAATTTAGATGCCCTGTCACAGGGGACAAACAGGTACATTAATGAAGCAGGCCCCAGAAAAATAAATACAGGACCTCTGTCACTTTAACTCTTTGATATAGGCATAGAGACAATAAATATTTCATTTTCTCATTAATTCAATTACTATAAGAAAACCAGCAGCCCAGGTGTCAGCAGCCAGCTGACTCTTGGCCAGTCCTGTTGAAGGTAGTGGGTGTGGATTACGGCTGTCCTGGAATGGGTGCCTTGTCTTATGGAGCAGTAGCCATTGGCACTAGTGAATTATCAGATGAGTTTGGGAATTCCAGGTGGTTGGATTTACGTTTTTTTTCCTCCCTAACAAAAACCTGATAGTGGTTTTGAGGTAAAGTCTGTTTTCTAAATGTTGGCAGTCAATTCAAATTATTTTAAAACACTCTGCAAGCTCAACATAGGGTCAAGGCAACCAAAACACATCTTTGACCCTGACCCATCCAGCTTTTGGGCCCTCAGTGTTTGGAGTTTTGTTTTAAACAATGGGTGGGTGACCATCACTAGCAGGTATGGTAGAGGGGATTTCTGCCTGGGGTGGTAAGTCAGGCCAGTTTTGTTATATCATCTTCCATGTATTCTCCAACCCTGAAGTGCTGTGCCTCTGTGTACCAGTTGCTTTCATTCATTTGCCAAATATTTAAGTTACCTGCTAGTTATGATACATAGCTAAATGAGAGATGCAATAATCAAGCATGTAAAACGTAAGTTAACAGATACAGATAGAGCACTCAGAGGGTGAGAAGGTTCCAAGTGTAGTCAGTCCTGGAGGTTTTTAGCAAATGAATGCAAATTTTAAGATTTCCTATCCATGCCAAACCGGTTTAGCTCAGTGGTAGAGCGTCAGTGTGCGGACTGTAAGGTCCCAGGTTTGATTCCGGTCAGGGGCATATACGTTGGTTGCGGGCACATCCCCGGTGGGGGGTGTGCAGGAGGCAGCTGGTCGATGTTTCTCTCTCATCGATGTTTCTAGCTCTCTATCTCTCTCCCTTCCTCTCTGTAAAAAATAAATAAAATATATTGGAAAAAAAAAAGATTTCCTATCCATCTCACAGTCACCAGTTTTAAAATAGTTCCCTTTCATTTGAGGGGCATTTGCCTATAACTTTTCTCTGGATAGATCCAAACCTAAATTCATGGGTAAGTAACTTTTCCCTTTTTTCTGGCCATTAAAAAAAATCTCCCCCTCCCCCATCATTTAGATATGTTTGAGAAGGAAACCAGAGACCCTGTTCTGAGTAATTGATATGGGAGGAGTAGAATTCCAAAAATTAGTTTGCCATTGGTTTATTAAGGGGTTAATTAATTAGGCTGGGACTGTCCAGTACAGTAGCCACTAGCCACGTGTGGCTGTTGAGCACTGAAATGTGTTAATGTAAAGATGTGCTGTAATTGTAAAATACACACTGCATTTTGAACACCGAAAATGAAAAAAAGAATATAAAATAATCTTATAATTTTTATCTTGGTTACATTTTGAATTGCTAGTATTTTGGATATATCTGGTTAAATAACATTATTAAAATGAATTTCATCTGTTTCTTTTTTACCTGGTTACTGGGAAATTTAAAATATGTGGCTTACACTTTAGGTTCACATGATCCCTTAACTAGCACTGCATTGGACATTTGACAGATTTTAAAAGTTAAAGTGCCCTTAAAGGAGAGTTAGATTTATGTATATAAAAAACATATATTAGATTATGTAAAAATAAAAGAGCATTTTTAAATCATATATATGTAGACTTTCCTCCTATTTTGTATTTCCTTTTGTCAGGAAGATATAGTTGGTTTTAGTAATGTTTATTTAGTGTTATTTACATCAGTAAAAAAAAAAAAAATGCTTGATTTTACTTTGTATTTTCAATGGTTACCAGAAATATTATTTAAAAATACAAATTTGTAAGATAAAGTGTAGGTCTTTCAAGTGCTGTAACAGTACTGACTAATTCTGAACTCTAAGATAAGCTTGATAAATGTTTTACAGTTATAGCTTCATAAATACTATGTGTGCCAGGAAAAGCACTTTTTTTTTTTTTTTTTTTTTACTGTTAACTCAATCATTGTGTTATATGTAGAACAAATACTGCTTTATCTTTTGTTAACAAGTTGTGAAACTTCTCTTTTAAATTAAATTCTAAATCCAGCTTTCTGTTCATTGTTCACAGCATCACAACGGAGATCTTTGGGGTGGAGAGGTAGATAATGCTTTATCGCTTGTGTGGCTGCAGGCAGTATAGTATTAGATTTAAATTAAACGACCCTGTGTAGATAAGGTTTTAAACATCAGTGGTCAAGTCTTCAAAATTTTATAGAAAGTGAACAAATTGGGCTGAAAAGGTCAACAGGACTAAATTTCCGAGCAAGTTCTGATGTTTATTAAAGGGAGCACTGATTACTAGTACTTGCATTTTGTCAATATGCATGACAAGATATTTTTTAAAAAATATATCTGTTTTTATCTTTTTGAGGTTTATATTTAATTTTTATTTTTTACTGACATTATTACAGATGACCCCACCCCCACCCCCTTTTTTTTTTTAAATCCTTTACATATATTTAGTAGTGGAAGAAAGCTGTGTTAACAGCCATATTGCTACCTTAGGGAGGTTTAAATAAGCCAGTACTTTCTTCTGTATTTAATGATTTGCAAAAAGATGATGATAATTTTTGTAGTTAAAAACATAGTCTTTATTTTATGCATATGGTGTCTTTTATTTGTTAATGTTTTAAAGTATTTGAGTTGTAACATAGGGATCTTACCCGTTTAGGTAAATAGTGTACACTGCTTTTTTAGGCTTTCTGAAGTTTTTGATTCTGTATGAAAAATGGGCTGACCTATCTTATTTTTAAAAAGTTCTTTACTCCAGTTGACCTTTATAGTAAAATTGGCCCATATTTTTGTGAAATCCTGGTGATACCTTATATCTTATTAGAGAAAATGAACATCTGAAATGTTATCCCTTTTCTGTCTTCCTTACCTTCCTCTACATGTCTTGATTTTAAAATCTTACAGTCAGTTCTAGAAGCCACACGTAATTTTTCTCAGAGAAGTAGGCTTTAGTGAGTCCCTGAGAATTTTAAATGTTGAAATTCAGCAATTAAGGAGGGAAGGTAGGAGCAATTTGCTTTTTAAAAGCTCATTGCTTATTACCTTTTTTTTTTTTTTAATTAAGGCAATAGTTGAGAAAAAGGTTTTGCAAATTGAAAATACGAATAATACAAAAAATTAAATATAATGGCAGGAATCAGATGGCCAGAATGTACGAAAAGAAGCATTCTTTTCCTGTCAATATCATGCACCAGTCCATCGCCAAACACCAGGAAGCCCAACATGAATGTCAGTGCGTGCAGAGGTAGCCACAGACTGCCAGGTGGTAACAGGGGGAAATTGTTTCTAGCCAGGATGTGGGAGAGGAGGCAGCTGGCAGAGTTTTTGAACCTGTCATGAATTGACTCTCTTAGTTTTGGAATACTTTGGTATTTAAATGGTAAAACATATGATTGAAAGCTGATTTTGGGGGGGATTTGGTATAAACCAATTTGAAGAACTTTTTTTGTGGTCTTTGTTTTTAAATTGTATTGATTTATACTTGACTAATTTGTTTTTTGATTAAAGGTGTATGAGGAAAAGAATTGATTATGCATGGTGACAGTATTTAAGTCATTTGGGTGTATTATTGGTCCCACAAATACATTTTGACATAAAATTGCATTCCTTGGCCTACATTGTTTCCTTACCTAAGTCGTTTTTATTGTTGTTGTTATATCATGTTATTGAGCAGCTTTTTGTTTTTGTTTTTAATCCTCACCTGAGGATATTTGGAAGAAAGAGGGAAAGACAGAGAAACATCTATGTAAGAGAAACACATGGATTGATTGCCTCCTGGCCCTGGGGGGGGGGGTGGGGTGTAGGGAGGAGCTTGCAACCGAGGTGCATTATTGGCTAATGGTTGCTAACTATATTAGCTTAGCTATAAAGAGTAAAAGTTGACACATTTTAGTCTTAGTTCCATTTCTTGAATTTTTTCATTAGAATTACTTCCCAGAATATCCTTAGATGTTCTCCTTATTGCCTTGAACATATATTCTGTTGTTTCGTTTTTATGCAAACAATGGTCAAAGTATAAGACAGGTGAAATACAATGTATTGATTTTTTAGCATTTATAAAAAAATGTGAGAGCTTTTAAAATCTGTTTAGAAAAATAGACAGGATATTTTGTCTGATTTAAGAAGTTTAGTATGATGCTTTACACTTTATTTTTTTTATTATAAAAATAAGTTAAAAGCGGTTTACAGAAAAGGGATGAAACTTTTTTGGAAATTGCCCAAATCATGGTATCACCAGTGTACATCTTAAAGCATGATTTTATCATCATGACTTAATTTTGCTTTATCCCATTACTTAATTGATCATAACTCTCATTCATAAAACCAATAACCCATTAAAAATTTGATTGTTAGTATTGGTTAACCATTTTAAGTTTTATCATCTATTTCATATGTGGAAGCATGCAATGAAGTGTGAATTTCCAGTTGTTTAAACTTGACCACTGCACTGTATCACTTCCAGAATTATTTGGCTTGTTTTTTTTCACTAAATGAAATTTTCATTGGCATGTGTTTTAAAAACAGCTTTGCTGCTTATTTCACTATATGCCTGCTGTGCTGTGAAACATCTTGAACTGTAGTGCATGTTTTAGAATTAGTACAAGAATATATTTTATGTAGCATTTTCAGGTTTTTATTGGGTAACTTCTTTATGGTTTTTTTTTTTTTTGTGTGTGTGTGTGTGTGTTTAAAATATAAAGGTGAAAATATCTTTAAATGGAGATATTAAAAACGTTCTGCATATTTTTACATAAGTAGCTTTTGGGGCCCAGTGCCATCTAACATGTTGTAAAGTCACTTTAAATGAATAATATTGTGAACTGATTGCCAATTTTTTTTAATGTATCTTTATTGTTGAAAGCATTACAGATGTTCCCTTCCCCCCATTGACCCTCCTCCTCCCCTCTCCCGCCCCTGATTGCCTAATTTTACCTTTACATCTATCATGACAGACATTTTTTTAAAGATAGTCTTTTCAGTGATTGTAGCAATGTGCCAAGGCAATATTAATATAGCTGTTTAAAGACCTTGTCTAAGTGTGGCATACTAAGTTGAACCATCATTTTTGGTACTGGATACATGGCAGTATGAAAGAAAGCTGTAGTTTAAGAAGTTGTGTTTATTTTTAGGTAGTTATTTTATGGGCAACCAAGATTACCTACTCTAACGCTAGATTTATAAATAGAGGTAGGGCTATGGTATGCATGCTCTGATGTTAAATGGACAACTCTTGATTCTTGTGAACCTGTGGATAAGGACTGTTATGCCTTGGTTTTCTTGATTTGTTAAAATCAGGACAATACTGAACTAAAATGTGATGTTATGGTCATTGTATTGTGTATATATTGTAAAATAATTATTTGTAATACTTCTTGGGTAACTTTTGGCTTACTGAATTAAGTAACCTTAATGATTCTTTTTTTCAGGTCATAAGAAGATACTAAATGGTTGGTCCTTCTTAAAGTCACTAGATTTTAGGTCTATGAATGAGCTTTTCACTCTTTTATAGATTGTACTCAATTAACTAATGATTTTGTCTACTGAATTACCTCAAATAAAGCAATACTACAATAGGAAACCCTCTATTGCAGTGGTTCTTAACAAATTGAGACTAATAAAAGCTGTGGATTACTTAAAGAAAATATGCATAAACATATATGCAAAATTTGCATATAATTGCAAATAGTTTGCAAAACTATTTGGATCACTTTGGAGCCTATTTATGGAGCCCCAATTTAAGGACTCCTGCTTTTTTATGTATGAATCATTATTTTTATCATACAGCCTATGCTGTGTTTATTTAAATGGAAGTGAAATTCTTTTGTATATATAAAAATTCTTTGATATATAAAATTATTTATGATATACAAAAATAACTATAAATGTTAATCATATAATTTCAAAAGATCCTGACCTTGTGTAGTATTGTAGTATGTATTTTGTCCATATGTCTGTTTGATTTAAAATGATTATTATATGGGATTTGCTATAGAATATTTTCCTTTCCTCTTTAATTTTAATAACTTTAATAACTTGTGTCTGTCTTTTATTTACCAAGTGAAAATATTTTTAAATGCAATTTTAGAATATAATTGATTCAGAATATGAATTATTATAGTTCTGGAATATATTTGTAGATATATGTCTTTATTAAACATCATTTTTTTTAATTTCATTCTATTCATTTCCCTACCAATGTAACTAAACAAGGACTTACTAATTACACAGGCTGGAAGCGCAATTCATTGACCCCTAAGACAACTACTTTCCCTTGTCCTGGCTGTGAGCATGATGTGGATCTTGGAGAGCGAGGAATCAACGGTTTATTTAGAAATTTCACTTTGGAAACCATTGTTGAAAGATATCGGCAGGCAGCCAGGGCAGCCACAGCCATTATGTGTGATCTTTGTAAACCACCACCTCAAGAATCCACAAAAAGTTGCATGGACTGTAGTGCAAGCTACTGCAATGAATGCTTCAAAATTTATCATCCTTGGGGTACTATAAAAGCCCAGCATGAGTATGTGGGCCCAACCACTAATTTTAGACCCAAGGTAAGTGAAGTTTTTATTGTTAGAATGTTAAACTTAATCTTAAAAAAGGATTTATTGCAAGTCTAGAATTTAACAGTCAGAAAGAAAAGAACTTTAAAGAAATTAAGTGGTATAAGAATTAAGGCCTAGTAGTTTGAGTTACTTATTATGCTGTTAAACATCCTCATAGGTTAGATGTCAATGTTATGGTTCACTTTGTTATAGTACAGTGTAATAAAAGATAGTACATGAATGTTCACAATGATAACTCTGAGTAATAAAAGGAAGATGATCTGGGATGTGCTCTTTAAGATTAAAATGGTTAGGTTCTTCCAGTCCTAACAAGGGATCTAAGATAGCAAGCAGCATAGGGTGAATGCAGTACTCGCCTGCTCCCACAACCACATCAAAATTACAACTAAACTACATAACCATCATTTAGAACCACCTGAAATTTGGCTGAATGGAAGTCCTACAGCTAGGGTTTTAAAGAAGCCACACTGAGACTGGTAGGGGGGCAGAGATAAGAAAAGGAGTGGTCCCACATGTGTTGCAGATGATACTGTCAGCCGATTTCTCAACAGAAACTTTGCAGGCCGCAAAGGATTTCCAAGAAATATTTGAAGTGCTGGAAAGCAAGGGAATCCAAGGACGGATAAAGAGTTTCCTAGAAAAGAAAAAGCTAGTTCATCATCACGAAACCAGTATTATATGAAATGGTAAAGGGTCTTCTTTAAGAAGGAAAAATAAAAATAAAAAATTGCAATAAATATTTATCAACAATTGAATCTAAAAGACAAAATGAACAAGCAGAACAGAAACAGATTCATAGATACAGAGATCATTTTAATGGTTTCCAGATGGGAAGGGAGGTTGGAGAGATGGGTGAAAAAGGTGAAGGGATTAAGAAGTACAATTTGGTTGGTACAGAATAGTCATGAGGATGTAAAGTATATCATAGGAAATATAGTCAATAATATTTTAATAACTAAAGTATCAGATGGGTTTGAAATTTATTGGAATGATCGCTTAGTTATGTAAATGTCTAATCACGGGGATTACACCTGCAACTAAGATAATCATGTCAACTGTAATTGGGGGGAAAAAAGAAGAGAAAAATGTTTAAAATGATTAAAGCTAATAGGCTTTTGTGCTTTAATATGATAAACCCATAATTATCTAAAAGATTTGATTAGGAAACATTTCCTGACCTTCTTAGTTAGCTAAACTTGTACTTAGAGTAAGTAAGTATAATTACAGCCTAATATTCTGAAGCTCGTAATATGTACTATATGGGATCTGAAGTAGAATTTGCATTTCTTAAATACTCAGCAATTTCTGTAATAATGCTCAAAAGAACTTTGTTTTGCTTGCCTTGCTCTGTGACTGTGAAGCAGAATGATTTTCACTATCTTCACTTATACTACTTTCTGTTTTATATAGATAAAAAAACTATAATTTGTTCTCTTAAAGTTTTTATTCCTTACAACTTAGTTACTATGTGAGTATGTTTCTCACTCTAACCATCTCCTTTCCTCTCTATAAAAAATCAATAAAATATATATACTAAGAAAAGTTGCCTCGTCAGTGTGGTCAGAGCCTTTCTAAGTTGGTTAAAATTCTACTTAAGTCTGATAGGAATGAAATTTTCACCATCTTATCACCAAGTTATGGTAAATAATATATACATATTTAATTGACCATTTGAAATTGAACAATAGTAATTCTAATATAGAAACTTTTCATATAATATACCATATTCTTTTATTTATTTTTATACTGTTATCTTTTATATGGCTTTATTTAGTTACTTTCTAAAGCAGGTCTTTGTATTTTGGGACTTGGAGTGCCCACAAGCTATGATGGCCCTAAATTATAATTTTATTCTTTTACTCGATAGATTTTAATGTGCCCAGAACATGAAACGGAGAGAATAAACATGTACTGCGAATTATGTAGGAGGCCAGTTTGTCATCTCTGTAAGCTGGGTGGTAATCACTCCAATCACCGTGTAACCACTATGAGCAGTGCCTACAAAACCTTAAAGGTAGGACTTGTGTTTATTTTTGGAACTAAATTTTGTTCTTTATTTTGCTTTATGCCTTTAACTTTTGCTTTATAAAATCATGAACTTTATCCTCTGTTTCACTAGTGCTTATGCTTTTTGGAGACCTGTGAATAACTGGACACTGCTTCTTGGTTAAAACTAAGACTACATAAACACAGACTACCTGTGTCTGAGGACAGAGAAAACTGGAGCCATCTCAAATAAAGGCTGTTATTGACCAGAGACTTTGTCTAAGCGTTACAGCTATCTGGGAGTGACCCCTGGTGCTCTTAGACCTTAAACCATATTTCTGAATTATGTCATCTATTCTTCTCTAGCGCAGTGGTCGGCAAACTGCCGCTCGCGAGCCACATGCGGCTCTTTGGCCCGGTGAGTGTGGCTCTTCCACAAAATACAGTGCGATTGAAACTTCGTGGCCCTTGTGCAGAAGTCAGTTTTCAGCTCTCAAAAGAAATTTCAATCCTTGTACTCTGGATATTTGGCTTTGTTGACTAATGAGTTTGCCGACCTCTGCTCTAGCCTATCTTGTATTTCTAATTTAAGCTGTTTTAGAAGCAAGCCCTACTTCAATTTAAATGGCCAAATTCTTCTCCCTGCTACTGTAGCTAAAAAGAGTACCACCTCCTGTACCCCAAACTTCAGGTCCTAGCCTGGGCCTGACAGGGACATGTTGGAGGAACTGTCATCTGTGGCTGAGGGCTGAGGAAGTGCCTCTCAGCCTGGGGAAGGGTGGTTAGTGTACTGTGCACTGAGGTTCCAGCTCAGCTGCCCACTGTGATGTGTGAACTCGGTGAGCTTTGGTTTCCTCCTCTGTAAAATGCTGAGTTAAGACACAGATATTCCTTCTCTTTCTATCTTTGACATCCCACAGTTTCTTTCTTGGTCCCATCTTGCCTTTAATCCTCAGAAACTTTGTTCCTTTTCCTGCGGGGTTGGTTCTTCCTCGCTCTCTTCAGTGAGTCATCAAAAAAACTCACTGTGTCTGCTTGGTGAGTATTCCAAAGAATTAAAGATGGATCTTTTAATTGATGGTACTGTGTAAAAAAAAACAAAAACAAAAACAAAAAGGTTCTGTAAGACCTGCATTAAACTTCTATCTCTGCTTATTTGTGTTACCAATATATTCCAACAGGAAAAACTTTCAAAGGATATTGATTATCTTATTGGCAAGGAAAGCCAGGTGAAGAGTCAAATTTCTGAACTAAACTTGTTAATGAAAGAAACAGAGGTAAGTGATAAACTGGTTTACATATTCATCTAGATAACTACTTTTTCATTTATAAAATTTTGAGGGTGGTATATGAGCTGGAAGTACAAACTAGTGTTAGATTTTACTTCTGCTTTTTCGGGACTAGAGAAACAAATAAAATATAAATTATAATGCTATGTAATCAGTGTTGTGATAGAGGTAAGTGATTAAATAATATTTGAGCACAGAGGAAAGAATGACTAACTCTTATGTGGCAGTTAAGGTCTCAAAAGTAATAACATAAGGGAAATGATAGCTTTTGCAATTATTTGTATTTTACAAAATTAACATCACATTTGAAAAATGTACTGTATAGGGATAACCAAGTTTATTTAAAATTGCAGATATTCTTAATTGTATACCTAGTATATGTTCACCAAAAGACAAGTATTAGACTGTGCATATTTGCATCATTTATAATATCCATAAAGTGAAAACTATCCAAATGTTCATCAATACTGGAATATACATAGGAGTAAGAATGAGTAACTGCAACTTTGTACAACAATATAGGTAACTCTTGCAATAATATTGGAAAAATGCCAGATATAAAGGAGTATATACTGTGTGACTCTCATAAAAATTCCCCAAAAAGGTGAAACTGGACTTTATTGTGAGAATTCAGAATAGGAATTGTTGAGGACGGGAGGATTAGTGCCTCGGAAGTTATAAGGGTGGCTTCTGGGATACTGGTAATGGTCTTTTATTTAAACTGGATTCTGGTGACATGGGTGTGTTTGCAAATATTCACTGATCTCTACACTTATGTACATTTTTCGGTTTCTATATTAAATTTCAACACAAATTTGGAAAATAAAAGAGGACAGGATTGGTTTATTTTAAAATTTCACATATTCTTTACTAATTTAATGCCTGTTTCTTTTTTCTCTTTGAAATAAATTGAAGAATCATTACTCTTGATCATTTTGAAAGTTATAATGAAATATAAAAAATATCCTGACTAGTATGAGACTGTTACTTCTTGAAAATTTTTTCAAAGATGGTTAAAATTATTGAGAAATTATGCAAATTAATCCTATATTACCAGTACTGCTTTTGTTTTTAATATTCCTTTTCTGATATTTACTAATTGCATTTACCACCCTAAGTAGATTGGTTTTTTTCCCCACGTAGTTTAAAAGTGGAATTTTGCTTTTATTTTTTTGTCTGGTTAGTGTAATCCCCCAACACAGAACAAGTTATCACCTAGTTTATTAGTTGCTTCAGGGATTGTGTCCGTGGTCAGTTTGTTGGTTTTACTCTACTGTTTCTCAGTCACGCTGCCCTTCAGAAATAAGGACACCCAGTGCACGTTTTGGCTTTTTCATTCGGTAGGATGGAAACTGGGGGACTCAGACATCAGGTTTTCATGTAGACACTGATTCCTTAGGATCCTGGAAAAATTATTTAGTTTGTACTTTTAATCTAAGCAGAATTTGTGTTCTTATCAGTAATACTTTTCTACAATAGAGAATTTATCCGTATTCTTGGCTTTTACTCAGTGATGATTTTGATACTGCCTTTTTATCTATAATGTATTTAGCTGGGGAGGAAAAATCTATTTTTTACCTACATATAATGATATTTCTGAGTTTAATGTTTTGATAGGTCCTTGACATACTACCCAAATGTCACCACCCTCTACTTCTCCTGACCTACCCATTTAAAAAACTTTTGGCTGCTGGGTTAGGGAAATGAAGAAGGGAATCTGGAAAAAATGTTCTCTCATCATAAATATTGGCCAGAAGTCACTGGAAAATGCACAATGCTCTTCTATAATATAATGTCAACTCTTAAGGATGTTATTGGAGTCGTTTTTTTTTTCTGTTGGCTGCTACTTAGGCTCTGGTATAATGAGTGCTCTAATGGTCTTATTTTCAAAATCAAGTTTATCTCTACATTATTGATATTATAATGTTTTTAAGCACTACAGACAGGATCATTTCTTGACAAAGTAGAGGAATACTCATGTTGTTCAGTGAAAATAATGTTTCTTGAGAATATGTGACATTGTGGCAGACATTTTATGTAAATTATATTTTATCTAAAAAAAAAAGCCCTCCCAAAACCTAAATGGTTTCTCTGAAAAACTCAAGCATAAAGAATTTAACTAATCTGCATAAAGACACATAGGATTTATGCAATTATGTTATTTGAACAGCCACATTTTTATATCTTAGTAAAGAATGTCATCTTACTGAGTTTCGGGACCATGGTTTATTTAAAAAAAAAATTGGAATAAGGTGGAAATGGTAAAAAATTTTCCTTAATTAAATTAGAAATGAATTAAAAGCTCCAGAATTATATTTTCTCTTATCTTTGGTTAAATCAGTTAATTTTGCCTCAATTTCCTTTGTATACAAATTGAAGGTTATTTATTTAATTAAATACATTGTTTATTGTTGGATTTAGGGGATTAAAAGTGTAAGGATGATATAGTATTATGAAATTACAAAGTGCGCTTAAATAAAAGTTGCCGATCATACCTCGCTGATCATTTCTTGATGTCAAATTTCATAGACAGAACTTATTTTCTTTATAATGTTTGGGTTTGTTTTATTGAATTTTCATTATTTTTTCTGAAGACATTGGGATTTAGCAGATTAGTAATGTAATGCTTTGCTTGTTTTATAATAGTGTAATGGAGAGAGGGCTAAAGAAGATGCAATTACACATTTTGAAAAGCTCTTTGAAATTCTAGAAGAGAGGAAATCATGTGTTTTGAAAGCAATTGATGCTTCAAAGAAACTCAGATTAGACAAATTTCAGACTCAAATGGAAGAATATCAAGGGCTTCTAGAGAACAATGGACTTGTGGGATATGCTCAAGAAGTGCTTAAGGAGACAGACCAGTCTTGCTTCGTACAGACAGCCAAACAACTCCACCTCAGGTATTTTACTTTTAACCTAGAATCTCCTTACCAATTTATTAAATGCTGCTGTATGTTCCACATTAGCTCATATTGTTGTTACGTGAATACCTCTTGCTTGCTTCACTCTTTTTTTTTTTTTTTTTTTTTGGACTCACAAAGAGGACAGCTTGCTCGCCTTATCCTTGACTACAGTTTAGTCAGGCCTTCTTGGTACAGAAATGCCTATATTCTCCATTATCCATGCACCAGACCTGTTTTCTGAGTTTTTTAAAAAAAAATAATTATTTATTGTTGAAAGTATTACATGTGTCTCTTTTTTCCCTCCCCATTGACCCTCTCTGGCCCCCTCCATATACCCCACCCCCAGGCCTTCAGTGTCCATGGGTTATGCATATATGCATACAAGGTATTTGGTTGATTACCTCCCTTCCACCCACCTTCCCCCACTTTCCCTCTGAGATTCCACTCTGTTACATGTCTCTGGATCCACTTCGTTCATCAGTTTATTTTGTTACTTAGATTGCACATATGAGTATGATCATGTGATACTTGTCTTTCCCTGACTGACTTATTTCATTTAGTATGATACGCTCCAGGTCCCTCCATGCTGTCTCAAAGCTTGCTTCACTTTTAACTTGAATGTTGAGTGAGGTTTTCTCTCATCACATTTCAGATACTTAGTCTGATTTGTCTTTTTTAACAAGTCATTTTTACATAAAAGATATCTGTCTGAAAACAGAATACAGAAAGCTACGGAATCTCTGAAGAGCTTTAGACCTGCGGCCCAGACTTCTTTTGAAGACTATGTTATTAATACGTCTAAACAAACAGAACTTCTTGGAGAATTGTCCTTTTTCTCTAGCGGTAAGTTTTACTACTGGCAAAAACATAGTCTTTTAGTCTGTATTTGCATTGTGTAGGAAAAACACAAGTTCTCTTCAGAGAGGTGTTATTAAGCAGTACTTCAGTTGCCCAGAACCATCTTATTTTAAAATCATGTTGCATTTATCTTTTTACGCACAAAACTATATTCTCGCCGAAACCGGTTTGGCTCAGTGGATAGAGCATCAGTCTGTGGACTGAAAGGTCCCAGGTTCGATTCTGGTCAAGGGCATGTACATTGGTTGTGGGCACATCCCTGGCAAGGGGTGTGCAGGAGGCAGCTGGTTGATGTTTCTCTCTCATCGATGTTTCTGGCTCTCTATCCCTCTTCCTCTCTGTGGAAAATTAATAAAAAACATTAAAAAAAACAACAACAATTATATTCTATTGGTTTGTGTTTTAAACATTATGTTAATGGCATCAAATTGTGTCTCCTTTTTGTAAATTGTTTTTTAAAAATATTAAGTTTAATATAAATATTTGTTAATACACAAAGTTCTGGCTTAGAGCTATATTTTAACTGTTTATAGTATTTCATTATGTAAGTCATTTCCCTACTGAGAGAAAATTGTGTCTTATTTTTTATAAACAAACTGTATTGAACATCTTTATTAATGGTTGTTGAGTACATGTATGTGAGTTTCTCTAGGGTAGAAATCTGATATCCCCAGGCTAAGGGACGAACATGATTGTGTTTACCTTGCTATATTACTTTGATAGGGCTGCCAAAATAAAATGTCTGGAGTTGGGTGCCTTAAACAACAGAAATTTATTTTCTTACGATTCTGGAGTCTAGAAGTCTGAGAGCAAGGTGTTAGCAGGATTGATTTTTTTCAGAGGCTTCTCTTGTTGGGCTTGCAGATAGATGGTCATCTTCCTGTGTCTTCCCTCTTATACATATCTGTGTCCAACTTTCTTATCAGGACATCAGTTATATTAGTCATATTGGATTAGTGCCCACTCTAATGACCTCATTTAAACTTAATTACCTTTTTAAGGACCCTTTCTCCCTCCAATAAAATCACATTCTGAGGTGCTAGGGATTAGAACTTCACATGAATTTTGGGGAGACACAGTTCAGCCCATAAGACTTGCTTATGTTTGTGTTTTGCTGCTCCCCAGAAGAGAGTTCTTCCTTTTTTTTTCTTCTTTTTTTTTAAATCACCTTTTCACCCTCCTCAAATTTTTCTTTTAGTGAAGGTGAACAATTACAATTCTTAGAAATATATTTAATCTTAAAACATAAAGAGGCCATTAAGATTGCTAATGTTGCAAAAGAAACAGTGATCACAGGCAATTGAAGAGGCAGAAAAACTGTTGATTTAGATAAATGAAATGCAGTGACAGCATTTCAGATACATCCACACTAATAAAAGAGAAAGATGCAAATTGACTGTGCCTTCACAACACCCACCAGCCAATCAGGAGTGAGTATGCAAATTAACCCAACAAAGATGGCAGGTTAATTTATTTACATACACAGGCACTAAGTGGCCAGGAGGGGGGTGGGAAGCAGGTGTTCAGCACTGCCCCAGCTACTCCGGGCCTCTGGGCAGTGTAGGAATGCGGAAAGGTGGCTCTGGCTGAGTGAAGGTGGTGCTGGCAGCCAGGGGAAGGAAGGCCCATTCTTGCATGAATCTTCATGCTTCAGGCCTCTAATTGATATATGAACAAGCAAAGATTTGCATGCAGACCTGAGAAACAACCCCTGGAACAAATTCTGAGAGTGATTCCTTAAGGTTGGTAGGAGGTGGTTTGATAAATTAAAAAACAAGAAGTGTTTATAGATTAAACAGCACATTAGACACCTGTATATAAGAAAGGTTAAAACGGAACCATTTGGGGGTCTGGAACAGATTGATTCCATTTCCATTATTTCGTATGGGGAAAAAGGACTCAGTTTTCAAACAAATGGCTTTTGAACAGCTTTCTGGAACAAATTAAGTTTGAGAACCAAGGTTCCACTGTATATATTTGTTACACTTTGAAATGCTGATTCTATTTCATATACTAGATTCCCCCAGGGTATACTTTTTCATAAATGCTAATTTACTTAGAGATACAACGTCCTCCTTCCCTGGTGATCCCCCAACAGTCTTGGGAAAGATGAGGTTGGAGGTGGGTAATCTTGGGTAATACCAGTGTATAACAGTGTACAACAGTGGGAAATGGGCACCCAATTCTGGTTGGTAGATTATGGTCTCCTCATTTTTTCTTGTGTGCACATTTTTTTTAGTAAGCTATTTTTCAAAACAAAGGGATGTCGGGTTGGGCCATACTAGTCATGTTATTTGTACCTAGTATTTTTTTTTTTTTTAACTTTAAAATGTATTTTGGATGACTTTCTAGGCTCATTATGGTTGCATAAATGCACCATTCCCAGACATGCTAATACATTGCTACATATAACTGGAGGATAAGGAGAAGAGGGAGACTTCTTCCCATTTCAAATACTTCTCTGTGATTGATAAATAGGTTTGCTTGTGTGTGTGTGTACACATGTAGTAACTCTAATAGTTTATTCTTAACCATATAATTCAGATAGTTTAACTTATTAGAATTTATTCTATGAAAAGGATTATGGATATGCACAGTGATTTAGTGGTAATATTTTAACCATTGTATTTTTAGTGAAAAATTAGAAGCACATAAATAGTTAAAAGTTGATACATCCCATACAGTGGAGTACCACTGGGAGGAAAATGCTGGCAGGATCTACACAAATTTATTGTAGTGATTATCTTTTGAGTTACTTAAAACATATTTTTGCATGTTTTATGTAGCTTCTAATTATCTTATGAAAATCATGTTTACTCAAAGAAAATATTATTTAACTTGCTTTACAACTTCTTTAAAAAAAATAAAAATTGTGTAAGTTTCATTGAAGTTTTTTGCTATGTTCACCAAACTTAGATTTTAAAATATTTATTAAAAGAATTGTTTATAGGAAGATACAATTTAATATTTTAAAGTTGAGGGTTGTTATTCAGTAGGTGAAAATTGAAGGCATACACTTAAACTTTTTATTTTATAGTGTTTGCGGAATTAATATAAAGCTAAAATCGAGTCTTTCAATTTTTGGTCTCATTTTTCATTCTTTTCCTTTTAAATTATAAACACAAATGTACCTCTTTAAATCTTTTTTTTAAAAATTTTTGTGATGAGAACACAAAAATTTGATTTTTGACTGATATCAAATAAAGAAAAATTGAAAGGCAGAATTTGAGGGAGAGGGCTTTTAATTTGGGAGTATAAAATGGCACAAATGCTGTCGTATAATATCTGCTTAAGTGTGCATTACACTAGTTGACTAGGTCCAGTGTACTGTGGATCTTTAGGTGGTTCATCTTGCTTAAGTGGTGGGACTTTATGCCTGTTGCTAATAGCTGCCCATTTCCCCTTCTCCCAGTTCCTGGTAACCACCATTCCAATCTTTGATTTTATGAATTGGACTGTTTCAGATACCTCTATCATGCAGTCAGTTAAAACACTGGCAGCATCTACACAAAAATTGTCTTTCTGTTCCTGGCTTATTTCACTTAGTATGTCTGCAGTGTCTATCTATGATGTCGCATGCATAGGAATTATTCTTTTTCTCATAAGTAGATTTACAGATTTAGAAAATTGAACAGTACAGAAATCATTTAAGTGTTGCCAATGCATTTGTTATTGAGGAAAAAATATAGATTCTTTAATAACAAAATTTTAACATTTTCTTTTTCATAATTTTTTCAGGCATAGATGTGCCAGAGATCAATGAGGAACAGAGCAAAGTTTATAACAATGCTTTGATAAATTGGCACCATCCAGAAAAGGATACAGCTGATAGCTATGTCCTCGAATATCGGAAGATTAATAGAGATGAGGAAATGTTGTCTTGGAATGAGATAGAAGTTTGTGGCACAAGTAAAGTTATTTCAGAACTTGAAAGTAACTGTAACTACGCTTTCAGAGTAAGAGCCTACAAGGGTTCAATCTGCAGTCCTTGCAGCAGAGAATTGGTTCTTCGTACTCCTCCCGCTCCAGGTATTGTAACCATTGGGAATTAAAAAGCAAAGGCCAAAACCGGTTTGGCTCAGCGGTAGAGCGTCGGCCTGCTGACTAAAGGGTCCAGGGTTCGATTCCGGTCGGGGGCATGTACGTTGGTTGCGGGCACATCCCCTGTATGGGGTGTGCAAGAGGCAGCTGGTCGATGTTTCTCTCTCTCATTGACGTTTCTAGCTCTCTATCTCCCTTCCTCTATGTAAAAAATCAATAAAATATATTTTATATATATATATATATATATATATATATATATATATATATATATATATATATATATATATATATATATAAATTAAAAGACAAAGCATGGGAAGAGACCCTGATAAACGTAAACTAGCCAATGTCTCTGTGTAGACCTACAATAAAAGCAGCTCTCATTTGTAAAAGTTTATACAAACCATACCCAGCTAGGTTTTAGAAATGGACTGATTATATTAATTTTACCATGCTGGCTGAGGAGAGAATTTGATTTTTGACTGATATCAAATAAAGAAAAATTGAAAGGAAGAATTTGAGGGAGCAGGGCTATTAATTTGGGATTAAATGGCATAAATGCTACCGTACAAGTTTTAAATAGTATAGTTCTGTATTTTTTTGGTGTATAGAAATCTCTAGAACATAGGATCTAGATAGATAGTTTAAAAACGTATTGGTATAATATGAAATAGAATTTTGATTAACCAAATTTAGGACTTGTCAGGATTTTCTAACACAGTGATTTCTAACTCATCGGGATATATCAGAACCACGTGGATAGCTTTCTCCCCAGCCATGGTCCCTCCCCTTTTCAAGTTAAAACCCACTGATACTGCTTATAGATGTCTTTAGATTTTTATAGAATGGGGATGAGTTACAGGTTAGTCGATGTTCACTATAATGTCTGCATGGACAAGGGACACTTAGACCAAGGAAAACCTTTTGCCCTGTTGGTCACTTCCTTAGAGGCCTGTCAGTTGGCTTCCAGACCCAGTGGCTCCTGCCCATTTGTAACGGCTTACATTTCCATATTTTGTGCAGTCTGTCCTTCCTTCCCTGTTTATTCAAAGTGTATTTATTCACTGTTAATTTTTCATGCACGTTGTGGCTAATTTTTAAATGAGGGTACAGATAAATAGTGTTGGCTAAAATGATTTTTCTTTGATTTCAATAAAATCCAATAGAGTGTTTTAGGATGGATTTGCAGTTATTGTGTAAATATTTCATAGTTCATGCAGTCTTCACTTTCCTTTCTAGTCTCTGACTGGAAGTGGAAGTAAAAAAGAAACCTGAAAGCAGCTGCTGTTTTTAGTAACATAGTGGAGGGGGAAGGAGGAAAGGAAGTGTCAAATGTTGTCTTCCTTTTCTCTGAGAGAAGCATATGAATAGGGTGGCCATTTAAATTCAGTATGCAAACTGGGAGACATTTAAGATCAAAAGGAAGCATGCATGATTTACCATATTGACACTATAGGCATTACCAGGAAGAATGAATGTTGGCCACATATGGAGGTTTTAACTTGCTAGTAGACGATTTTGAAAATTGTGGTATAATATAGTTAAAATTTATCATTTTAAAGTGTACAGGTCAGTAGCATTAAATACACTAACAGTGTTGTACAACCACCACAATTCACATCTGTAGAATTTCTTCACCTTTTCCAAACTGAAACTCTGTGCCCATTGAATAGTAACTCCCCACTCTCCCTCCCCACAGAGCCTGGTAGCCACCATTCTTCCTTCTGCCTCCATGAGTTTGCCTGTTCTAGGTTCCTCATAGGAGTAGATTCACAGAATCCTTTGGTGACGGGCAGGTTTCAAGGTTCATCCATGTTGTAGCATGTCAGAATTTTCTTCTTTTTTAGGTTGACTAATATACTAGGGGCCCAGTGCATGAATTTGTGCACCTTGAAAGGAACTGGGGGCCATGAGGCTGCTGTGGGCACAGGGGTGGGTCTTGGCCCAACTTCCATGCCCCTGCCCAGCTCCTCCTGCAGCAGTCCCAGATCCCATCTGCCAGCAGCCCCATTCCTGCCACTGCCGCTCCCACACTCTGACAGCACTGGCCCTGCTCACACCCACTGACAGCGAGGAGTGATTGGGGATAGTGCCAGCAGTGGGTGCGAGCAGGGCCAGCACCATTAGTGTGTGCGAGCAATGGCTGCTGCTCCGATCGCCCCTCAGGAGCAGGGGGAGTTGGAGTAGCCTGAAGGATGATGGGGCTGGCAGCCACCGCTGGCACCTGCGCACAGGTGCCATGCAATTGGGCTGGTGCCAGCAGCAGGTTTAAGCACTGGGCGGGACTTCGGCGCATAGGAGCAAAGAATTTTCAATAACCACCAGAGGCTCGCCTAGATGACAGCAACTGGCACCTGCCTTGGTCTGACACCCCTGCTCACCGGCTCCACCATCCTGCCATAGCCAATGCCCGCCATGTTCCATGCACTCCCCTTAGTGGTCAGCACATGTCATAGCGATTGGTTGTTTGGTTGTTCCACTATTTGGTCTTTTTGCATATTAGCCTTTTATTATATAGGATATTACATTTTCTTTGTCCGTTCATCTATTGGACATTTGGGTTGTCCCCAGTTTTTGGACTAGCAGCCACTGTTAAGCTTAATGGATTTGATAGTCTTAGAAGTAATCTTATATCCATTCTCTAGTTGAGGAAATTAAAATTTAGGTTAAATTGTAGTTAAATGCTTGAGCAGGATTCAAACCCATGTCTCTCTGAACAAAAAAACCTATGCTTTCTTTTTTTTACACTGTACACTGTTCCCATATTGCCATGTTGATGAATAAGGAAAAGATGTTATTAAAATTGCTGTTATTTTTCAAATTTATAAAATTTGGAGTAAATATTTAAGAAAACATAGATATTTATGAAAATGTACAACCCTTTATTTTAGGGGTACAACACAGACTTAATAGTGTGGAATACTTAGGATAGATTTGTTATATCAATTCCAAGCAACCACATAAGTTTTCTCATATTTAAAATACATTCCTCTGCCTTTGAGGTTTCTGAACATCTTCAGGTATAGAGAGTTTGCTGGAAGTTATTTCTAAGTTAGGGTCTTGGTTTGTCATAGTTTGGTCTAGAGTGGTAAGATATGTCCTGTCTTTTTTCAGTAGTTTCTATTTGCAAAACCTATCATATTTAACAGTAAATTGTAGAAATGCTAGTAAATATTTCTCACACTAATTGTAAGCTTTATTTACAGTTTTCAATTTCCTCTTTGATGAAAAATGTGGTTATAATAATGAACACCTCTTGTTGAACTTGAAGAGAGACCGTGTAGAGAGCAGAGCTGGATTTAACCTTCTGCTTGCTGCAGAACGCATCCAAGTGGGGTACTACACAAGCTTAGACTACATCATCGGCGACGTTGGGATTACCAAAGGGAAGCACTTCTGGGCCTTCCGGGTGGAGCCCTATTCATACCTGGTCAAAGCAGGAGTGGCTTCCAGTGATAAACTGCAAGAATGGCTTCGTTCTCCCCGGGATGCAGGGAGTCCAAGGTACATTCTTTACATTGATCTGCAACTTGATACTTTTTAAAAAGTAAACATGCTTGTTTTGCAAGATAAGCTTCTACATAGATCTGAATTTACTTATTACAATTCCAGCATGCTTAGATTCAGCGGATTTGACTGTGCTTATGTGGTTGCCTAAATAAAGGAGTTAGGTTTCTTTATTCGCCCAGAAGATAATGAGATTTAGCAATTAATTTATGATGCTACAAGTAGATAAGTCTGTTTTGTATACCTCTTGATAATGAGATAGCTTTGCAGTTTTAAATTTTGAAAATCACATCAGTTTCCTTATGTGATAAAAATCATCCACATATATAGTGAAATACCTCTAGTTGCCATACTTCATACTTGATATTAACTTGTTCTTTTGTCTTTAAATGTCCCATAAATACTTTACAGAATTGAGTCACGGTAAGCATGTTTTCACAGCAAATAATTTCAATGTCTTAAGACATTGACTATTTAATGGAGATTATTTAGTTTAACTTTTTTAGATGGTTTATAGCGAACTAGCCCAGACAACTTTGTAATAAGTATATATTTTTATTGATTTCAGAGAGGAAAGGAAAGGGAGAGAGATAGAACCATTAACGATGAGAGAGAATCATTGATCGATAGGCTGCCTCCTGCACACCCCCCACTGGGGATCAAGCTAGAAACCCTGGCATGTCTCTTGACCAGAAATAGAACCAGTGACCTCCTGATTCATAGGTCGACGCTCAAGCACTCAGTCAAACTGGCTGGGCCAAACATAACTTTTAACCACTTACATAAACAGAATCTCAGGTTAACAATCTGAGCAATAGGAAAAAATTTTGCACAAGATGAGAAATTAACGTAACAGTGAAAATTGTATTAGAGAAATGTTAAACAGTGGCCACTTGATAGAATATTAGTATTAATCATATTTTAGGATTGTTAGAAGTTAAAAAAACACCATTAAAATGGTTGATGTTATATGGTCATCTGAAAAGCAAAGTATGCATAGGAAAAAAATGGAAGGAACTTGGTATCAAAATGTTCTATAAGCTGCTATTTTCTATACAACAGCGGAAACAAGCCTTCAAAATACTTGCTACATCACAGATCTATGCAGAAATCCCTATTGGAAAGTAGAGTTCTGTGGAGGAGAATGAAACATGCCTTTTTCTCCTGCATTATTATGCAGTGCCTATTTATTTCGTTTGTAATTCCTTGGATTAAAGCACACATCTTGGTTTGGTATTTTCTTGTGTGTGATTGTGTGCTATAAATATTTAATCCTTGACAAGCCCTTTAGTCCCTGTCCCCCTCATTTATTTTTGAAAGGCACAAGTTATTTTTTAGCTTCTCATCTGTGTATTATCCAATTAAGAGTGGATGGTGTTTTAAGACGGAATTTGGGGTGTATTTGTATAATTCTGAATGGTAATGTGTAATCTAATGTTTTTGTTTTAATGGAAGGTTTTTGATATATAATTTATTTTAATGTTAAATCAGGTCTATATTGTCTTGTAAAATGTTTCACAGATGCTTGAAGGTCTATAGGTAATGATACAGATAAGATTCTACCTTTTGTGTGTTGTGTTTTAGATATGAGCAAGACAGTGGACATGACAGCGGAAGTGAGGATGCCTGTTTTGATTCTTCACAACGCTTTACTTTAGTTACTATAGGCATGAAGAAGTTCTTTCTACCCAAGTCACCTACTTTTAATGAAACTGAGAATAGAGTTCTTCCCATGCCAACAAGCATAGGAGTTTTCCTCGACTATGATAAAGGCAGAGTGAGCTTCTATGACATGGATCACATGAAATGCCTTTATGAGCGCCAGGTGGACTGCTCGAGCACCATGTATCCAGCGTTTGCCCTAATGGGCAGTGGAGGAATTCAACTGGAAGAACCCATCACCTCAAAATATCTAGAATACCACGAGGACATGTAGTTTAAGCATCTGATGTGACTTGGAAGGAAAAATGTAGGCAAAACAATGCCTGGGTGTTTGCCTTCGTAACTAATTACATATCATCTAAGTATTCTGTCGCCACACTTGTTTTTTGTGTGTTTCTTCTTAAAACACTGGAAACTTAAACAGCCTTGCCTTTTCCATGTCACTCTTCTGCCTTTCACAAATAACAGGAAAAAGACACAGTGAAATGGTTAACTGGATTGTCTTACTTTTATGAACATATGAAATTTATTTATTTATGTTAGCTGGTGTTGCTGTTCCTTACATTCCTTTTGGGGGGAAGGCATACAAATGTATTTATTATGTTGCTTTTTATGTTTGTTTTTTCAATTTTATATCATGTTTGTGTCCTAAGAGAAGATGTTTTTAAAATGGATAGAAGTTAGTACTAACCATTGTGTCTTGGATTTGTTTTTAAAAGAAAAACAAAGATAGATGGGGGAAAGGCCATAGAAATGGTAATATATTTAAATGGAAAATTATGTATTTTGAGATGTGTAAAGAATATTAACAGTATATTTGCCTGGAAAATGAATACTGTTGTGTTTGGTTTTTTTAAAAATCATAAACTATTCTTAAGGACATATAAGTGTTTTCTTAGCTGTAACGCTCATATGTGCATGTGTAGAAAACATAGTCTCTTGCAGGAAACACAAAGTTAGTGGTTAACACATGTAGCTCTTCATTTTAAACACTTTTTCCCCCCTAGAAAAACTTGTCTGGGAAAATTTGTCTTTCATAAAACATGCTTTATGAAAATATTTGCACCTATGTTGAGTAATTATTTTTTGTAAAAATTAGTGAAGATATATTGATATTGGTCATTTTTGTGTGTGTGTGTGTGTTTTTTTATCCCCTCTTACTGTGTCTTATGATTTTCATTTTTAGGCACAAATATGACATATCAGATTGTCCTGGTTTATGTTTACATTTTAAAAGAGTTCATGATTTATTTTTAGTGTTATTAAATATAAGATGTGGAATAACTAACTGGTCAGTTATTGCATTTTCTGTGGCCCATCGGTAATGAGCATTGGTAATAATAAGTAAAAATACAAATTTCATTGTTTAGGAGTAATAACTAAAATCATAATGACTATTCTTTTAAAAGTTCTCTTTATTTGAAGAATGACTAAATTTTATATTCATTTTTGAAACATCTTTTTTTTAGGTTGTTTTAAATTTTTTATTTATTTGAAGTTAAAATGTTAGAAACTAGACTGTTATGCATTAGCACTTACAATTTTGGAATGCTTGTGACGTATTTTCATAGACTAACAAAAACCTTAGGTCTTTTTTTAAACTACATATTTTTAAATGGAAATCTGTTATTCAGGCTGATAGCACAAAATTAGTTCCCTCTCACAACCCAAATAGAAAATACGCTGGAGAATTTCGTTGTTTAGTAGGCTGTGTTCCTTTCCCACCAAGGACTGGCACTTTATGATAGAGGCTGAACTAAACAAGGATGCAGTGTTGTGTGGATCATTGTGCAATAAAACTGCTGACGTCGCTGGGTGGTCTAGTTTGATAGTCTCAAGCCTGTGTAAGCACATATCATGTAAACATTAAAAAAATAAAGCTTTAAATAGGAATAGGAAAGCTATTTCAAATATTGTATAGTTGTACATAAATTGTTCTGGATTTCTTTCTTTTTTAATAAACATTAAAGGTCAAGTGGAATTATTGAAATTGTTCTAAGAATTCTCAGTGTTTATATGGAAAATGGAAGCAAATTATGAAAAGATGTTTAGCTGAATATATTAGGTAAAGTTTTATATAAAGTTATTTTGGGCATTTAATTATTAGCTTTAATTGTGGAAATGATCATTAGAGAAGCTTAACATGAAACTAATTTACTTCAGTTCATCGGTTTGTCTAATTTTTCTGATTCGTAATGGATCACATTTTGATCAGATTGATGGTCCTATAGGTTCACCTTTATACTCTGGGTTATGGGGCTCTGGTAGTTGTGGTTCCTTGTGGATCGCAGTGGGCTATCCCTGTGATACTATGTAATAACTTCTCATATTTACTGTTTCTTTTTTTAAAAATGTGTTTTTATTGATTTCAGAGCGGAAGGGAGAGAAACATCAATGATCAAAGTATGCTCTACCAGATAAATTTGCATTCATTTTACTAGTAAAGGTGTTTATGGTGTTAACATACTGAGACTTGGGCATCTTCTTTTGCTTTAAAAGTAAACCTGAAGGAATTAAAGTTTTTAAAATTTGACTTGGGACTACTTCATTTCACAAAAAAACTTTTTAACCTCTGCTATTTATGAGACTCTGTTCTGTGAATTGGGTATAAAGTCAGCCAGACAGTGGTGTGGCTTGGATGCCTGCTTTTAAGAGCTTGCTTTCTACGAAGGAGAGAGAATAAAAATGGGACTTCAGAGCATATGAGGTGGGAGCTAATACTAGATTTGGTGATCAGGGAATCCCCTCGGAGGAGGTGAAGAGATGAGACAAGTTTGATAGCTGATGGCTAACCGCTGGCCGACAGAGGTGAGTGAAGAGCTCCCTGGATAGGTGGAGCACACAAATGCACAAAGGCTTAGAGAGTGAATTAGTCAGGTTTCTGGAAGGAAAGATAATTCACTCTGGATGGTTCAACTAAAAAGAAGTGAATGAAAGGATTGCTTAGAGGGAAGGGCAACCTTAAAGGACGAAGCAAGCAATGATGAGCCTGGGGAAAGACTAGCCACAGCGTGAAGAGCATGGGGGACAAAGGGAAAGGGTGACTAGATAGATCTGAGAACATGAAGGGTTGGTTGGCGGAAGCTGGGGTTACTACAGGAGGCAGCTGTTTCTAGAAATGTGCCAGGACGGAGGGAGCAAGAAAGAAATAGCCTCCACCTGTTCTGATCTGCAGCCTTTGACCAAACCCTGCTGGAAGCCAGCCAGCAAGGGCTTTCTAGAGATGCAGGCAGCAGGGGTCATCCTCCTGGGGCAGAGAGGGCAAAGCAGGGCCCTGGTGGCTGGGGGGCAGGGGCACAAATGGAGAATAACTGGCACAAGCGGGGTGGGCTTGGTGAATCAGAGGGAGATGGGAGGCTGTGGCCACTGTGCTGACTGCTTAGATAAGAGTATTTATGCTGTTCTGAAACGTTAAAAACAGAAGACTTAGGAAGCCTGCACCTTTCCCCTTCCAGCTGTCTGGTTTTCTCTTCCTGGTTGGTTCTTTTATGCTGCCAATCTGAGGCTAGTGAAGCTGCTGTTTTCCTGAGTTTGCCGCCTCTTGTCTGAAATCTCTTCGGAATAGAGAGGAATCAGTGCTGTGGTTAAGAAAACAGTACCCTTAAAGTGCTGACCAGACCGATGCCTGCAGGCTAAGTAAGATTGTAGAATACCTTCCAAGTGAAAGTAAGTTGGCATGTGCTGTGCGTGAGTTAGATAACAGTCTGCCTGCCTGTGGATAATTGAAAAATACTTAAAAATCCATTTCCCCCTTGATTTCTCTGTGTAACTTACCCGAACTCAATGGTTTATTTCTTAAATGCCAGCACCGCTTGCTTTTAGAAATCCTAGAAAAAGTTGCGTGGTGTTTATGTTGGCACCTGTTTCAAATGCAGGTTGAGTCCATACCGACCAGCCAGGTTACATGGCTGCCTCTGGAGGTCTGCTTTCTGTTCTTGTAAGGCTTGGTCTCCTAAGGCACCAGTCCTCTGAGGGTAGAGCTGCTCTCCTGTGGAACAGTATACCTGTCCTGTAATCTTAAGACTTGGAGCAACCTGATTTCCTAATTTCCTTTCCTAGGTTGGGTGGTAAGGACTATTAGCTATTAGCTTCTGTAAAAGTATTTTACATCTTTTCAAAATGATATATATCTGTATATTTTCAAAAATAGCTCCTTAATTTGTTTTCCCTGTTTGGATTCCTTTTACTGTAGAAGTTTAAGCATAACACTTCTGACAATATGGAAAAATTGTAGTTCAGAAATTATTTTCTTGGTGAAATTTTATGGGTCACCAATTCCTCTAACTTTGACATGCAAGCATTTGAATTCCTTCTTGGAGCATATCTAATATGCCTTAAAGTTTTTTAGTAATAGAGAATTCCAAAAACATTTTTAAAGTGTAATGGTTGGTACGTTGTAGTACTTGTTGAAAGGTGACCTAATTGGCTTATAGGTTTGGGGGAAAGCAGAGGGCTCCATAAGCAAATAAGCTGCGTGATGCTGTTCAGCAAAGCCAGGCATGTGATTTTTGCAGTTCTCAGCATTTAGTGCCCACTTAACTCTGAATCACAGGGTTAAGTGGGCACACAGGAACCTACTAGTTATGGTTAGGGTGGATTTTGGTGTGGATTTATGTCTGAGGTTTGTCACTAACTAAATGTGTGATCTTAGATAAGTTGTTAACCTGTGAGCTTCATCCATCTGCAAACTAGTTGTAGTGGTGTGAATGAGAATATAGACAAAGGATGTAACCGTGTCTGGTGTGTTAAGCCACTCTATGGGAGCTACACACATAGATTATGAGCAGTTCTGAAACTCAGATTTAACTTCCCGAGAGATCTTTTACAAATGGGGAGAATATATTTGAAAACAGAATTTCCCCAGAAAATCATGTCATGTAATTCAACTGCGGTCATTTACTATAATCCCCAAAATCAAACTGGAGAGGCATATGAATCATTAATTTGAGGTATAATGCAGCCAATTAGATAAAAATGAAATCAGTTTTCTGTGAAATCAAGTTTTTATAGTCCAGATGTATTTCTTATTATGTAACAGTGAACAAGAGCTCAGAAAATATGCAAGAAAATCACTTCTGTGGCCTGTGTCAAGTGTCAGAGTCTCAGGTAAAGTTGTTTCTTGATAAAAGAGTTCTCCTTGGCTCCTGGAACCTGCAGCTGGTCTGTGAGTTAGGAAGCAGCAGGCACTGTGGAGCAGTGCTTCTAAGTGTTAATGTTCATGTGAGTCACCTGGGGAGGGCTGGAGAGTGCATTTCTAACCGGCTCCAGGTGAAG